TGGCCGTACAGCAGGGCTGTTGTGGGGGCAAGGCAGGGGTGGGAGCCCTAAGGGGTTTGTCATGGGGGGCAGTGGGGGTGGGGACCCTGGGGGACTGTCATGGGAGCTGGGCCAGGGAGGAGGCTATCCCAGGGTCAAGGCAGGCAGGGGGAGCCCTAAAAGGGGGCTATCACCTGGTCCAGGGATAGAAGAGGTGGCCTGGGGCAGTGGCTGGGGGGGTGGGGAGAAGCAGGTGGTTTGAGAAGAGCCAGGCCTCAGTGACTGGTGAGGTGTGGGGTGGGAGATTGGGAAGTGCTGTGGACAGCTCCTGGGCCTCTGCTGGGGTGTCTGGGTGGACAGACAGGCTGTCCCAGCTATAGGAACACTGGAAAGAGGAGGAGGAAGTCTGGGAATAAGTCCAGTCGGGCTGTGCTGAGGACACAAGATTGGAAGTCCAGATCCAGGACACGGCTGGGATGGAGTTTGGTGTTTCTGAACTTTTGAGAGCTCTGCTGGCCCAGGTGCCCCAGGCCAAGCCCACCAAGTGCCCATTGGCCCCATGTGTCCTCCCAGGGCTCAACAGCTCCCAGCCTGCTGGGTGTCTGCCAAGATTCAACTCAGACCAGAGAATGCTTTAGGGGCCCAGATGGCCCAGTCACCTGACCACCCTTACCTTCTTCCCCTCTGCGGTGTCAACCCACGTCTTTTGCTCACTTTGGGTGAAAAACAGGAAATCGTACGGATGTGGGCCCCAGATCTGAAGGTGTGGGTTCTTCTTTCAGGTTTGGGATCCTCAAGTCCAGGGCTGGGCATTGCTCTCAGCTTTTCCTGACTCTGGACTCAAACAAGTCGAGGTTCAGCAACGCTGACCCTATACGATCCCCAGCTGGAATGCTAGTCCCAGACCCAGCCCTGACTGTAACCCCAACTCAGCTCGACCTGGACCCCTGCGGTGCTGCGATTCCCCAACACTAATCGGTGCTGTCTGCAGGGCGGAGCCACACCCACAGCGCTGATCACAGAACCTCAGCACCCGGGACAGAGCCTGGTGCTTGCCCGAACCTGACCCCAACCC